AATGAGTGATTGTCAAGTGCAAAATAAGGCCAATTCAGATAGAATGAAGAGAAATTTTGCCTACTGGATTCTTTTCTTTTCTATGGCACAGAAATGAATTCGTCATGGAATGAAATGTAATCAGAAATCTCAAAACACAAACAGGAGTTAAGACTAATTTGCAATGAAACGAGAAAGAACGTATGATATGATGGATCTTACCCAGTTGCTGCAAAGAAGCCTAATGGAATCATCATCTCCCATCCATTTATTGTCATGCTGCAAAGGAAAATAAATTCACATTTATTAGAAAAAAGAAAAAAGACAAAGAGCTCGTCATAGATAGAGAGATTGTAGTCAAAAGATGTTCTGCTTTGACAAACCTTGTAGGCCAGTTTAATTCATTTCTTCTAGATGTGTTATTATATCACATTTGCTGGATTACGTTTCCCAAATTAATTGATTGATTGTACTAATGGTGAAATTAATTGATTGATTGTACTAATGGTGAAATTAATTGAATCACTATCCTTTTCGAGTGAGTGATTGTACTGAAAGGCCTGCGATTGTTTACACAGGTGAATTATGGAATAATCAAAAAAAAAAAAATTTTTTGAGATAGATTGGAATAATCAATTGAAGGATGATCATCAATATTTTCGCTCTATCTTAAAGGTATATAACACTATAAAGCCGAAGTAATTCTTGCTGAAAGAACAATTTTTAAGAGCTCAAGATCCTATTTTTGGAGACTAATATGATGAGATATATATTACTGATGAAAATTTTCCAAATCCCACAGTTTTAAGTTTAAATTTGGAAGATGCTTTCTTTTTACTCTGCTTATACTTCAAGTCAAGTTTCTTAGTTTTTTTTTTAATTTTTAATCAAAACAATAGGCTCGAAAGCATAGTTATTAAACCCGGCCCGGAGGGGAACCCGGCGAAAGAGGTGGGTGAACGGGTTACTGGTTCAACCAGTGGGTGAGTGGTTCAACCGGTGGGTCACGAAATATATTTAAATATTATGTTTCATAATTTTTGATATGGTTAAAACTATAATAAATTATGTCATAGTAAATGCTCAATTAGTCTAATTTATTATAGAATCATTAATTCTTATAAGAATTAACAAAACCTAAATGCAATTAGTAATCCATCAAATTTCAAGAATAAAATTTTATCTAAGTATAATTATCTAGTTTATTTATGAATTTTAAATGCAAAGAATTATTAGGAACGATATTTGCCTTTAGAATGAATTATGTGATATGTTATTTTTTAAATTCATTTCATAATTTATAGAGTCTGGGGAGTAATAAAATTTATTAAAAGATTCCAAATAAATTATGTTTTGGAAAATTAAAATAAGAATAAGTCTAATATATAATATAAAAAAAGACTAAATATTAAACAAGTGAGCTGTTGGTGCAGCGTTTGTTGCATTTCCTTCAATACAAGAGGTCGTTGGTTCGAAGCTTCACTCTAGCATCTTCCAAACATTTTTAACATGCAAACCCGGTTTCCTATAAAACCGAAGCTTCACTCTAGCATCTTCCAAACATTTTTAACATGCAAACCCGGTTTCCTATAAAACCGGACTGTTCTCTGGGTTTGACCGGTTGAACCGCCGGTCCGTTGAAAAGTCAACGGTTTAGTTGTCAAAACGATCCAATTAGCTAACCGGCCCGGCTCAATGGCCGGTTCACCGGGTTGACCGGTCGAACCGCCGGGCCGGGCCGAGTTTAATAACTATGCTCGAAAGGATGACTCCCACTATGTCAAGATGACACTTTGCTAGTTTGCTATTGAATTATATCATTTTCTTGCCCGCATCAAGAAACAGAGTAGACTAATTTGACTAATCTTAAATCAAAGAGTCGGAGGTGGATGGGTTGGGTGATTTGAAAAAAACAGTGTAAATAAGAGATTTCGAACTCAAATTTCTCATTCATATTATATAAAAAATTGTTTTAAAAAAAATCAAAGGGTCGAAAAAGTCAACGGACAGTTCAAACTTCGAGGGGACCTAAGTTTGACTAATAATATAAACGTGCACATGCTCTGTGCTTGTCAATTTTGAAAAATTCCAGCCAATCTTGAGTACTACAATGGATCTACTGCGTCCCAACTCTAATTTACAAAGTACCGAGAAACAATGAGAGTATAGTTTAGGGAGCTAATGTACATTAATTTCCTAAGCAACCAAGAAAGTATCAAATCACATGTTTTTGATAGTTTTCAAGGCGAGATATTTAAATATTTGTAATTGTTGACAAGAATCAAAGACGTGGAGAATCACTTACCATACAGATAAAGCATCCACTGCAATTTCTGCATTCTTGAGATTTCCGGTCATCAATATGAGTATTCTATAATACCAGTTCTCCAAACTATTGACAGGGTTGTGTTTGGATTGCATTTTCCGTCATTTTTCATGGAAAAATTACTGTAGCGATTTGATATATGTGAGGGAAAAAGGTGATAGGGAAATGTGATCACGGAAAACGATAATATTTTCCGACGAAAACCTTCAATCCAAGCAAGGCAAGGTTTTGTTTAACACACACACACATATACATACATATATATATATACATATATATATATATATATATATATTACTCGTTAACAGAGCTGAAAGTGATTTTGTTGTGGTGAAGAGAAAAAAGGTTAAACTGAGAAAGTAACAAAAAGTAAAGAAGTCACTCAAGATGGCAAAACATTCATATTAATATGAGAGCAGTTAGGGAATAGAAAACCATTGGCAAGAAAAAGCCTACCAAAGCATGACTCCAGATGATGCAGAGAGCTTTAGGAACTCCCAAAGACCCGAAAACGCTTCCATCGAGAAACCAGGCCAAGTATGGGGACAGCCACCGCAAGCGGTGTAGATAAACAAACCAAACACCAAAACCCACCACGCAAAGTTCAAGGTCACGACGGTTCCCACCACTCCAAGCTGGAATCCATAAACAAACAGCCAACTGGTGCAAATATGTACAAGCAGGGCTACCAATGAAACCCAAGCAATCACTGAATTCTTCAGCTGACTTTGCAGAAACCTCTGCAATGGGAATTGGAAGGCAAAGCTGAAATGCAAAGGAATCATCCACAAGGCAACACTACCCGAGAGCTCAGCCACGTTTGCGGGCTGACCTAATAGTTTCAAGATTGGTGTAGCGAAGATGTAAATTGACAGAAGTAGTATACAGCAAGCAAATAGCACAATCCACGAACGTTGCATGTATATCCCTAGCATGTGGTATTTCTTGGCTCCAAATGCTTGTCCACATAGCGTCTCCAAAGCACTTGCCATGCCCAACTAATTTCCATAACCCCAAAAAAAAAAAAAAACAGAGAGAGAGAGAGAGAGAGCCTGTCAGAGAAATAAATTTAAAAAAATCTGCGAATATAATAAGTAAAAGTTAGAATTCTTCAGAGAAATAAAATGTACCAAGAGGCCGAAATCGAACCCAACGACGACGTTATTGATGATTGAAATTGCTGCAAGCTCAGTATCGCCAAGATGGCCAGCAAAAGCTTGGGTAATCACGTTCATGGAGTAGGAGGTAATTCGACTGAAGATGGCTGGGCCAACAATATGCCATAGCTTCTTCGATTCAACAAAGACCCTTCGCCTGAGATTTTGGTCGTCATCATCAATTTCATATTTGGATGACTCTGAATGCAGCAGTAGAGGAACTTGATTTTCTTCAACGTTGACCAAATTCTCGAATTTTTCCTTGTTATTACTAGCCATTTCCCCCCCTTTTCTTCCTTTGCTGAAAATTTCTCGTGGATCTTCAACAAGAAGAGAAAGATTTGAACTTGGCAATTGATGACATTCCGCCCTTGCGGTGGCTTACATATATATGTGTGTATATATAATGCCCATTTGGATTGGTAGGCAAATCAATTGGATATCAGTGTACACGTCACAAGAAAATTGTGGAGGCAGTCTAAAGTTTTACACTAGTACTGAAATCAATTGGCTGGTCTATCAGCGTTACGTCGGCAAGTCCACGATGGTCTCCCGCCTGGAAACTCGTGTCCAAACGAGTAAAAGAAGTGAACAGGGAAGCAGGCACATTTTGTCAGCCAATTCATACGCGCTTAATTGCACTAATTAATTAATTCAGGTGTGTATCTATTAGGGACTTAAGTGCCAACTGCTAAAATCCACCTTCGTTGGGAGTTGTGGACAGGAACTTAAGGACTGTAATCTACTCTTTGAAAGTTTATCTTTTGAGTAAAGGCTCTTGGTCTGAGATGGACAAATATGCCAGCATCGTCACATGTAGGTGTGGTTAAATAAACTATTGTGACTTTTAGGAAGAAATAGCTCCATTTCTTGCCAAATATTCAGTCATTTTTAGGGTCTTGTATCTTCTTCTTTTTCTTCTCCTCCTCCTGTTTTTCTCCTTCTCCTTCTCTTGCTGCTTCTTCTTTATACCTCATTTTTGGTATGGAATCTTTTTCTCGTACCGTATTCCTTGCCAAATATTTTGTCATTTTTTGAGATGTTTTTTTTATGACATGATAGCAATCCATTCATAGGATCAAATTTATAACTTAACAATATTGCAAACTGACCAACAATTCACCATACGATGCTAACATATAGTTGGACTAACTCACTCTTATGTCGCAACGGATCTTCTGTCCCACACCCTGTGACACTCTCTGTCCCATTTTTATTATATTATTATTTCTCTTTCATAAATATCATGTTTTAATTTTTTTTGTTTCCTTAAGATTCAATAACTATTAATTGAGTAAAAAATAAATACAACAGTTTCAAAAAAGCAATATATGATAGAAAATTAAAAAATAAAGCAGAAAATTCATAAAAAATCTCATTTTTTTTGTGCATTTTGATTTTTTGAGGTTGTTAAATTTTGTGTATTACTCAATTAATAGTTATTGGATCTTAAGGAAACAAAAAAGAATTAAAACATAATATTTATGATTGAGAAATAATAATATAATAAAAAGTGGAATAGAGAGTGTCACAGGGTGTGGGACAGAAGATCCGTTGTGTATTAAATATAGAAAAAAAATTTCCCAAATAATTTTCAATCCAATAGATCTTTCTATCGAATGCATGGATTGTGCAACTTCATGAAGGCCCTAGTTATAAAGATTCTAATTACTGTAATAACTAATAAATAGAAAAGCTTTAATAGGGTTGCACAATCATTCAGATTGAAAAAGTCAATTTAATTAACCCAATAAAATTTTTTATTCTTTTGCAGAAAACCTTTTGCAGAAAGTTTCATAGATGATTCTGCTCCAGCTACCCTCCGCCCACGATGATCTGTATAAGGGTCTATGAGTCTTATGATCTTACCAAACAAATATTTAAAGAAATAAAATAAATAATAAAGGTATGAAATTGCACTAAAAAATAAGATAATATTTCCTCATAAATCTTACTAAATCTTGTTCTCAAACTAAAGTTCACCTCTTCACTTGGATCGAGTTCTATCCAGAAGTGTTACTCCTTTCTGCCAACTTCTCTACATGCATATTTGCCTTCTTTGCCTGTTTTCCACAAGTAGCCAGTTTAGGTATCAAGTGGAATTGTTTATTCCAGCAGAAATAAAATTAAAGGTGGAAGAAAAAAACAAAGATTAAATGATTAATCTGGGAAATTCATGTCATATGATATTTTCAACCACCTCTTTCTCCCAATCATACCTAGCCAATATCGTCGTTTGAATTGCAGTTCCAACAAAAATCATTCCAGCCCACATACCCAAAATTGTCAAAAATCAATATATTAGTTTAATTAGTGTACCCATTGCATCATGTCAACTTTTCCATTGTTTAAGTTTGGTTTTTAAAGTTTCATGTTTCTAGAAAAGCTTGCCCAAAAGAATACACAAAAACATTTGGAGGTCCCATACCATTACTCAGAAATGAAAAAACAATCCCAGAAAAATAGTATAACAGCTCAAATTTATGTGTGCAGCATATGCTAGCCATCCAGATCCAATAGCAACACCTAATTGAATCAAAAGAGTAAATTCAAAAAATAAAAAAGTATGAAATTATGTACAACGAACGCTGAATAGTTACCAGATAGAATGGGTTGCACGCTATTGAGGAGAATGGTGAAAGCTAAAAGAATTGAGAGTCTGTTTATTGCTTCTAAGATAACCTTACTTGATGTGAATATGAAGGCAATTTGATTGTGGAAAAATATAATCAGCACCCGAAATAATAGACCAAATGCTATAGATTGTGTTACTGATACCATGGTTGCAAGCTTGGCTGCTTTCCCATTTGCAGCTCTCAATTCATTCGCAAGCCTTACTCTGTATCATATCATTAAAAAAAAAAAAAAAAAAAAGAAGAGAGAACCATATTAATTACCTTGTGAAGGCATCTATTTTCCTAGAAAATACATAATAAATGAACCAGGAAACACATCCATTTGGATAGGAGATCAGTTGGGAAAATTGTCTGAAATAATATTGCAGCACTTTTTATAATATGATATATATGAGATGAAAAGAAGGTTGGAATTTGAATTATAGCATCTAAAATAATTGTGATTGAATTATAATTAGAATACAGTTGTTCTTTTCAAACTCTGACTGGGTATTCAAATGTTAGGCATATATATATATATATATATATATCCCTAATTTTTTAAATCTCATATGGTATGTGGTGATTCAATTACTAATGCATGGGAGTCACAATTGGAGTCTTTGCAATCCACTGAATTTTACAATTCTTATAATTAGCGTACATGTTGAGATATAATTAGCATTAATCTAATTTGACCAGCAACCTTGGTCATACTTTCTATGTGTGTATAATGATCAAATACAGATCATGTCGAGCGTAAAATGACTGACATATATGTCAAAACACAACAAAGAGTACATAAGAATTTATTTTGGAGCATTTTATCAAATTTAAAATTTTATCACGACAATATACAATGTGAACAAGAAATAAAGTCTCATGAGGAGGAGTAGTATTTAAAAGAAAAGCTGACCCTATTCCGCGGCTAAGAAGGCCAGAGAAGTCATCGATCATCTCCCACCCATTGATGTTCATGCTGTCAAGATCCAGTCGTGTGAAATATGAGTAAATGGAAGGCATTTTGATTTATTAAACCAAGCGATGAAATAGATGAAGTTTGACTTTGGTGGAGTTTATAATTAAAAAGTGAATTGAACAACAAATAATATCAAAACACAATAGATAATACTAAAATTATGTGTAAAAAAGCAATAGACAATAGCAACCACAAATAGCATATAAAAAGCAGAATAAGCCCCCAAGACATATTCATTATTATTTCAATTCCAACCAATCCAAGCTGAAGCTTAGACACCAGTTTAAGAGTATACGTGTGTATGTACCCAAGCAGCTATATAGTTCTTCAATTGGCTTTGCAGTAAAGGAAGCAGTAATGCATAGGTGAAATGAATTGGTATGCAAGGTGGAGCCATTGTCCCAGCAAGCTCAGCAACATCTGACTATTGTCCGACCAGCTTCAAAAATGGAGTATAGCAAATATGTAAAAATGGACACGTTCAAATGTAGTAAATGAAGAGAAGAAACCACAAACGCGGCATATATACACCCAACCAGTGGTGTTTTCTCGCCTCGAATGCTTGCACACATAGAGTTTCTAATGCACTTGCCATGCCTGGCTGGAGACGATCCACCAAATTTATTTACATGAGATCTTAAAGAGAATTTTTGGAAGCAAAATTTAAGGGAAAGTTTTCAGTGGGTGGCGGAAGTTTGTAATTCATACAGAGGGTAGCACTTTTTGTTCCACAAGTTTAACTAGCATCCACCCCAATTGTGTTGCATACCAAAGGTCAATGGGAATTGGTGACAAAATTGGCAAATAATTTCTAAGTTGCCTACTAAAACATAATTCAAATAGTGGGATCTGATCAATTTAAGATGTAGTTTCCTTAAAAATTTAATTTTGATTATGGAATAGTCTATTTGCAATTTATGAGCGATCTATGTTTTAGTATTAGAAGAAAGAAAGTAGTTACAGGAGAAAATTTAAGAGGTGGGAGGGCTTGTGGGTCATGATTGATGATACAAGACGTAAGAGGGCTTCATGGTCAAAGAGTTTAATCTCCTAAAACTACCCCATGAATGTATGAAGCTAGCATTTTAAATTTTCTTTTTAACAGAAAAAGGGTGAGATTTAAGTAGCAGAGAAAAATTAAAAAAAAAAAATTGAAGTCAAAACCTCTAATTCTTGTGACTTTAATGGGATTGGCCTTTCGTTTAGCATGGTAGATTGATAAGGAAACTTATGCAGGTGTTCTTCTCGAATGTAAATCATTTTCTATTTACAAGCACCGTAGAAATGTATAGAATTGCATTATACTAAACAAAAGTATCACGCTCTTGTATGACTTCTGAAACTTCCGCCACCCTAATGAAAGATTTTCCAAAATTTAACGAGCACCGGACATCCCATCTAGTGGCAGAATGGCTGGACTTTTGGTCCAAGTGATGAAAATAAATATGTGGCTTCAACATAAAAAAAAAATTGATAATGACAAATTCAAATGATGAACGAACGCTTGGAAGTTTGATACCATGAGGCCGAGGTCGAATTCAACGATGACATTAACAGCAATGGACAGAGCAGCAAGCTGAAGATCACCAAGATGGCCAGCGAAGGCTTGGGAAACAATGAACACGGTGCATGAAGCGATGCGGCTGAAGATTGCTGGACCAACCATTCGCCACATCTTCTTGGTCTCCGTCCAAATTCTACGTGCTAGACTTTGCTTCTCAGTTATGATCATCTTGCATTGGATAAATGGTCGAGTAATGGAAGATTTCCATCCTCCAATATGCTTTCGCTTGACATTTTCCTTGGTAGTGACCTCTCTTAAATAGGTGGTAAAGGGAGACGTTTCTTTATTAGATGAGTTAAAATTGGACTTTGCGGCTTTCAAGTATTTAATTGACCCAATTGATAGTACTATGAAGGCGCAGTGTTAGTAACAACTAATGAGAGGAGTTTTCCAATACCCAGTTTAGCTGGTAAGGAGCCGTAATCTTCAGGACTTGACTTCCAAACCCTCCTTCAATTTCTCTCTAAGCTTATAAAGACTGAAATTCATATTTAACAAAAAAATGAGATGAGGGTAGAGGTTTATAACCCCTAATCAAGTCTGAACATCTTTATGGATTTTGAGCATAAGGGGCCATGAGTCACAAGCTTCTTGAGTCTCATTTTTTTTTTATATAAAAAATTTGGATAGATTTAACACTGATCACTGTCACGGATCAGAACATGACCCCAAAATCATAAATTGCTTATAGTGATATTACAGATCGCTCATCAAAAGCTTATTAAATCTTGACATATTGGGAGGATTGTTAGATTCGATGGTAAGATGTAAGGGATTGTAGGTAGGAGATTCTAAATTCAAAACCTCCCACTTAAAAAAAAAAAGGGAAAAAAAGAGAGGGTCTTGACATACTGAATCAGTGTACAACCATAAAAGAGAATGACATGATAAAATATGATCGGTTTGGTCGATTACCAATGAAGAAAACACCAAACATGTTGCGTGACATGATAGAAATTAAGTTTAATTAATTGCAAGTTTACATCTGAGCTCATATCGACTTCAAATCGAGTGTATCTTCAAGAAGAAAAAAACAAAAACAAAACAAAACAAAACAAAAAAACTTCTAATTAAATTGAGTGTTATTAGTAAAACACAAGTGGCAATGAGAATCACTGTAATAGCACAATTTTTTTTTTGGGAGGAATGTAATAGGACGATCATAACCCATGTTTCTAACGCATGATACCAAGAAATGGCTTCTACATATCTCCACCAAAAAATAAAAACACGTAACGGAGCGCCTATTGCGTCTAAGTCACGTCTTTTTTAAAAAAAAAATTTTCCACACAAACTTGGGCAAGATTAGTTGATTGTTCTAAGGCTTGAAGGCCGGAATTTCGCAATCACAAGAACTACTGTTACAATCAGGTCCAGCTTTACCGAGGAAAGTAACATGTTCTACATCTTGACTTATGGAGAGAGAGAGAGAGAGATAATTACGGCCTTTTAATTTTGGTCCCAATGTTTTTTATTCTGATCGGACAAAATGTTTAACTTAGGTCTAAAATGATCAGAAATTCTTAAACTATGCACTTGTAATTGTTTAGGGGATGCGTCGGAGACAAAATTCAGATTAAATGGCAAAACTTGACAATGGTGATAGTGTTGGGACTTCCTAAGTTTTTCACTCTTCACAAATACATATATTGCAAGCTAATTAACCCAAAGCGTAGAGTTAACTGTCAACCATGACTCACCTTAACAAAGCTTTCTGATATTTTCATACTAAAATTGGAAGCCTTTTCCACAATAGCTAGAATTGTGCAGAGATGGTGAAGCAGATTAAAACAATTTTGCAGCCAAAATCAAGACTGTTACTCCACATGCACATCAATGTGAGTTCAGATACGAGTCCTTTTCGACCACTTGTCTACATGCATGCCTGCCTTCTCTGCCTGCATTTTCAGATGTAATTGACTCGCAACAATTTCAGAAAAGCATATTACTTTGATTAAAAAAAAAAAAAAGAAAAGCAATGAGATTCTGTTTCTACTTTCTATTACCTCTTTATCCCAATCACACCGAGCTGTGATGACGGCCAATACCACAGTTTGTACTGCAGTTCCACCAACAATCATTCCAGCCCACAAACCCTGTTAAGTTATGAAATATCAATATCAATATTTTCCCTTCAATTTTGATGGATCAGCCTTGAGATTTTGCAACCGTGAGGGGTTTACGTACCAGTACTCCGAAATGAAAAACCCATCCCATTACAATTCCCATTGGGACTCCAAGTAGATAGTAACAACCCAAGTTTATGTATGCTACGTATGATTGCCAACCAGAACCAACAGCAACCCCTTACACAAGATTTGTGAAAAAAAAAAATCATAAGTCCACCCAAAAATAAAAAAAAAAAAAAAAAATTAGTAGAAAGAGAAACTATGTGTTGATTAATTTATGGTGAAATACCAGAAAGAATGGGTTGCACGCTATTGAGGAGAATGGTGAAAGCTAAGAGAATTGAGAGGTGGTGTACAGCTTCTAGCACAGGTTGGCTGGTTGTGAATATATAGGATATTTCATTGTGGAAGAACAGAATAAGCAGCCAGAAGAATAGACCAATCACTGTTGAATGTATTACTGACACAATTGTTGCAAATTTGGCTCCTTTCCCATTACCAGCTCCCAATTCATTTGCAACCCTTACTCTGTTGTCAAACATGAGAAAAAAAAGAAATATTAGCAATTTTTTCTTGAACTATGAAAAATGAAAAAACAAAAAAAAAAAATGCACGGTGAGTCTACTTTCTTTGTTCCGTAATGAACTTAGTATTTGAAATTTTTCTTTCCTGCAACAATTGTGGTGATTGAAAGGCAAAAATATGCATCAATATCCATGTCCGATCCTTCTTGCAATAAATTTTTTTTTTTTTTTTTTTTTTCGGTGTAACAACCACAATAATGAGATTAGACACAAGTATATTAGGTACAGGCAGATGGGTTATACTGGGCCCAAGACGTATGGTTTTGGTCCAAGCTCTTCACAAACAAGTAGATATCAGAAAGAGACAACAACAATCGAAAGAATCTCAAGAAAAGGGGACAATGCTAAACATCAAAGTCAGCAGGACCATTTCTTTCACATCCAATCTTTTTTTTTTTTTTTTTTGAAGGACTTTTACATTCAATATTTAGACGCATTTGCCCAAACACACCGTGAAGTTATTTTCATGAGCGTTTACTATATAGACAAATTAAACAAAGCTTGCAACTCAAATGACCTACGTCTCTTCTACAATATCAATGAACAAACAAACTGCACCAATCAAGTCATGTGTGTGTGTGTGTGTTGGGGGGGGTTTAATAAAAAAGAGAGAAGATTACCCTGTTCCTGCAAAGAAGGCTAGAGGAATCATCAACTCCCATGCATTGATGTTCATGCTGCAAACCAGGGACAGATGGACAAAATTCATCACAATAGCTTGTGATGGAAATAAATTCTTTTTTTTTTCTCTTGGTGACTATTGAGTATTCGTTTTTAAGTACTACAATAAATACAATTTTGGTAAAACAAAATTATCAAATTTTTTTTTTTGTGAAAACAATGGTACGCTTTAATTGTGAATGATCATGACCCAATAAAGAGTAATTACTTGTGATTTGTCAAACTGCTGTATAAATTTAATTGCAGATGCAAATAATTCACAGTATATTGTATTAGACGTGGCAACAATAGACGAGGAGTTTTTGATCTAATAGCTTAAGGCGAGATCCCAAAAATTAGAAGTTCAAGGTTCAAATCTCCGTGCTCCTTCTTCGCTTCTTAAGTCTCACCTTTTCCTTACAGAAAAACAATTTTTAAAATGTGGCAACTATAGAAATATGAAGCAGCTCACCAGATGGACAATGCATCCACCGCTATTTTGGCATTGGGCAAATTTCCAGTCATCACTACCAATATCTTGTAGTACCAATTCTCCAAGCTGTTCCATTTTAGAAGAAACAAAGATTAGGGAAAACTGAAATTAAACACTGTAAAGTAATAGTACTAATCAAGGAAACAAATTTTAAACCTCTAAGATCTTCTAGCTCCATGAATAAGTACTTTTAGTACACATGATGCAAGTTACATGCCCCTTGACGAAAAATAAATTTGCCACACATATTTGCTGTGAGTGGAGATTGATTACCATAACATGACGCCAGAAGACATGGAGAGTTTCAGAAATTCCCAAAGACCAGAAAATGCTTCAAAGGTAAAACCAGTCCATGTTTCAGGACAACCACCAAACAAAGTATAAGCAAGCAAGCCAAAAACAATAAGCCACCAAGATATATTTAGTGTGACAGAAATGGCAATCAATCCCATCTGAAGCTTCGACACAAAGAGCCAGGTCAATGTCATGTGTATCACGAAAGCACCCAAATTCACCCAAGCATTCACATTATTTTTCAGCTGGCTCTGCAAGAATCTCTGCAGAGGAAACTGAAAAACAAAGCTGAAGTGAACTGGTATAAGTGATATGGCCAAATCTCCAGCTAGCTCAGCAATATCGGCTGGTTGTCCTAGCAATTTCAATACTGGTGTGGCCAAAATGTATACAGGTAAGGTCAGGATACAGAAGAGAAAAAGAACAATCCAGGATCTTTGCAAGTATACTCCCAACATGTTATATTTCTTTGCCCCGTAAGCCTGCCCACATAGAGTTTCCAATGCACTAGCCATTCCCAGCTGAAAAAAAAAAATCACCAGAAAATTATAGCTCACTAAAATCACGCTCATCGAATAAAAACACAAATTTTCTAGGCACAAAATCGCCCGCTAAAAATTTAACCATGTGGCCGGCAAGGGACAGACAGAACCAGAAAATCTACTTTGATAGGGCAAATTTTAAGATATCTAAATTTAAGTATATAACATAATATATTTTCAAGATTTTAAGGGGCAAGAGTTCAAACGGATTAAAAAACCTTGTTCAAATTTTCAATTTGTGAAGGAGAAAAATTAATTTTCTAAGACTCGGAATCGTTTAATTTACTACCAGGAAATCCCAAGTGGTAATTACTAAAGGAAACATGAAGGGTGGAAGCACTGAACAGAACCTACGTTTTAACATCAGGGGTAGAAGAACTGAACAGAACATAAGTTCGTCGACAAGAAAAAGTACCATGAGGCCAAAAACGAAGCCGTTAATGACAGTGCCAGCAATGGATAAAGCAGCGAGCTCAAGATCACCAAGGTGGCCGGCAAAAGCTTGGGAAAAAAAGAACATGGAGAAGTTTGCTATGCGGGTTAAGATGGCCGGACCAACAATTCGCCATAGTTTCTTGGATTCAATCCAAGTCCTTCGTGCAAGACTTTGATCTTGATGTACTTCTTCTTCTACTCTGCTTCTTGTTTGGATAATGGAAGATGAACGGTCTAGTATTAATGGGACTTTTGTTTCATCATCTGCTGTGGTTTTAATAATTGACATTTCTCTGGTGTTTACGGTGGCTGCTTACTGCCTAGGCATTTCTAGGCATTCCATAAAAGACCAAATGAAAAGAGGGATGTTAACTTGTTAACAGCCAATTAGACGGAGTTGGGGCCTTAGTGCCTTACAAGTTCAGTTCAACCTGATTTTGTAGTGTCAGATGCAAATTCGTACGATATCATTGCAGTGGTCCCAAGTTTACACAAAAGGCGTACAAATTTACACGAAATGCTGTAAGAAATAAACGACCTATTTAAACCAGGCAACAAGTAAATTTGTGAGGCCTCAGATCCCAATTAGACATATTCTATTCGTAGAAAGGGTGAATATTCAATTCTAAAATGTTAATGTACATAATTCACTTTCTTAGACATTTTGAATGATATTAATTATTTGTTTAAATTTCCTAGGATTTTTCTAATGGGGTCTAGTGGGCACTTTAAACTATATCTAATGAACCATCTAAATGCTCAAATCCACGTTTATTATATCCCTTGTATTTAGATGCCTCCTCATTGATATTTAATGTTTTAGAAGTTGACACCTCCTCAATCGGATCACGGCCTCTCAGGTTGAGTTCCATACAATTCAATTGAATTGATATACTTACAATTTTTTTACATAAACTTGTATTGATGTAATAGTGATTTTCACATTGTACGAGTTGACGAATTTACATTTACTTCAAAACTGTACCTGTTGCCGATGCTAATATTTAACCTTTTCCCTTTTTTCATCATAATGTCCATCTGAGAAGTATGGATTAGAAGCACAGGTACAGTACTTCGACACACATTTGGACATGGATCGGAAGTTGATGGATTTGCATAATTAAGATTAACTGTTTGAATTAGGAAACATCATAAATTTTGAGGACAAAATGTTTTGTAGTAACTAGGGCTGCAAACGAGCCGAGCCGAGTCGAGCTTTGAGTTAATCGAGCCGAGTCTCGACTAAATTTTACTAAGCTCGAGCTCGAGCTCGAGCTCAACGAGCCGGCAAATTTCGAGCTCGAGCTCGAAAAAAAATAAAAAATAATTATTTTATTTTTAAAAAAATAAATAAAATAATATTTTTTTCTTAATAAATAATAAAATATTAAGGATATATACGTAATTTTACTATAAAAATAAAAAATAAAAAAATATATATATAATATACATAATTTTATTATTAAATAAAAATAAAAATAAAAAATATATATATATATATACCCAAGCTCGCGAGCCGGCTCGCGAGCTAACGAGCTTAATATTCTGAGCTCGAACTCGAGCTCGAGTTTGACTCGAGCCGGCTCGAGCTCGACTCGAGCTCGATTAATAACGAGCTCGACTCGAGCTTGACTCGAGCCGCTCGCGAGCGGATCGCGAGCAGCTCGATTCGTTTGCAGCCCTAGTAGTAACATACGGAGTTTTAAATTATAGGGCAAATTACATTTTACCTCTCTATGGTTTAGTATTTTTTACGTAACCCCTTATAGTTTCAAAAGCTATACATAACCCCCTCATGATTTGAATTAAAGTGTCAAAGTGACGGAAATAGTCACTCATAACGGAACTTCTAAAAATGTCGAAATTATCCTTATAAATACATGACACATTAACCCCGTATGATTTTTATATTTTACCATATAACCCCCTTATGGTTTAATACTTTACCATATAACCCTCTTATAGTTTTCAAAATATACACATAACCCCCCTTGATTAATAAATAATTTTCAACTTTACATAAGGGTATTTTTGACATATTAGATTACTCCGTTACGAATGATCATTCCCGTCACTTTGACACTTTAATCCAAACCATAATGGAGTTATGTATAGTTTTTGAAACTATAGGGAGTTATGTAAAAAATACTAAACTACAGGGGGTAAAGTGAAATTTGCCCTAAATTATAACCCTTGTTCGCCTTTATGCCCGAAACAAATTTCAACTATGGGCATGAGAAGAACGGAGCTCGTCGGCATCTCGTTGATGGCTTTTCTCCAGTCTGCAGTACGTAGTTTTATTATGAGGATAGTTATATAAGACAATGATGGCCATCTCTTTGACCCGTCACAGCAACTTGCCTGCACAATTAATTGGTGGTCCAGGTCAACTCGTCCAATTCTTCTTCTTCATTTTGAGGCGAATTTCTCTACATGTAGTCCATACAAGAAAACATCATAAAACTAGTGGTGTTTGTTGACATGAGTTGCTAATATAAGGGTCGTCTCAATTGACAATTGAGGCGTCATCCAAAAATTGAATTAAATTTCTTTTTGTTCTAGTTGTTGGAGGAACTAAAAATAATGATTTTTTTTTAGGCTTCACCGCATGCCAAATAACATGCAGCGAAGCTTTTGAAAAAAATGTCATTGCCACATCCGAGCTAGATGTGGCGACCTTTTTTTATTTTAAATATAAATTTTTAATTTTTGTATCCCTAATCTCTAAACCATAACCCTAAATCCTAAACTTAAACTATAAATCCTAAACCCTAAACACTAAAATATGATATTACGTAAAACAAAAATTATGTAAAAAATTGTGCTATTTTTCTTTTATAACCGGTGATTAATTATTGATGAATGGCAAGAAGCAAGCTTTAGGTTCCATTTAAAATATAAAATTAAATTAAATTGAAATATGCCCAAATCATTCTTTTTTGAATTTTTTGGTTTTAAGATTAATTTAAACTATGATAAATAATGCAGCATCTAACTATAAATGTGTAAAATAACAAAATAAAAAGTTTTGTGATAATTAAACAAGAGCTTTGATAAGAAAAAATCTTGAAGTTTGAATATCACCTATCAACGTATCTCTTACCCTTATCGCGCGAAATGGTAGAACAACCACATTTCTAATATATCCTCCTGTGTGGTAGATCTTGCTGCACCTGTAGCCGTTCAGACCTTCGAGGTAGTGCCTGCACTCCTTCAAGCATTTGGTCCTCCTCATTACAATAACTGTTACTATTTACCATTACGATTAACTATTACTATTTTCTATTTACTATTCACTCTTACTATTTACTATTTAGCAGTCAAGGTTTTGAAACCCAAACCGTTCATTGACTCGAAAAAAATGATTGGGTCATGGACGAACCGTTATTAAATTGTGACGTCATAAATATATCATAAATATTATTAACAAATATTAAATATATAAAAATATGCAAATATTTGTAGAAACTTCAATAATAATGTTAAAAATAATCATTTCAATCCTTATTCTAATCTTGTATGTATTACATGTTTGAAATTCAAGAATAACTTTTATAAGTAAAAGGTAAAAGAAATATAGAATAGCATTTTATTATTTACATCTTTAATTATTTACATTTTTAATTTTCCTAAATTATATGATAAGTAGTTTATAAGATAGGAATAAAAATAAATAGAAGGCAATGACAAACAATTGAAATGCACTAAAGAGTTAATGTAATTAATATACTATATGCAATAAATTTTAGACAAAAGTTGAGATATCATTATGAGAGAGAAAGAGAGAGAGAGAGAGAGAATGAGGAGTAGAAAAATAAGGTAATAATTGTTATTGCCTAACTAATTAGAGACAATTACTTATGGGTAATTGGTAAGGTTTATCTTTGGAATGTTGAATTGGATTAGTTACCAAATTAAATTTTTTTTGGGTTAATTAAAGTTAGTCAAGGAACCAGCCGATTTAATGAAAATCGTTTCAATTCAATGGTCCGGCGGTCAAACCATCCAGGTCAACTGATTTTCACAAAAAAAGGCGGTATCTTAACCCCTCTGGGTTTAAGGCATAACCCGATTCACCCAACAGCCCGATCGACAGTTCAATCGGTCCAACCAGACAATCCGATTTAGGTTTCAAAACCTTGTTAGTAATAATTACACAGTAATTCACATAAAAATATTAATTAAATGCTATTAATTACTCAACTTCAACCACCAACGTACAGCATGCAATTCATTATATAAAACAATTACTAACTGAAAGTACCTTAATTGGACAATACATGTTTGCTTTCTCCAGTTGCGCACTTCTTCAAGGCTTCAAAATGTTGACAATAGGATTGCAACCCATTTCTTCAAAGTTTGGAAGACAGGCGAGGTGAAGCCATTGCTTTGACTGCTTGAAATTTTGGACAACAGGTGAGAGTAATTAAGCCACTAATTTAGTCTGCCTCTACTTTAGTAAGACAATGTTAGCAACACTCTATTTTCTCAAAAACACTGGAGGAGAAAGGTTTTGGGAAGACACTACTTCTGACTCTGCTTTCAGGAAGAAACTTGCGGAACTACTCATTTTGGAAGATATTGGAGGAGAAGTGGGGATTTAGGGATGGAAAACAGAGAAAACTAGGGCTGGTGTGAGAGAAAGTGATTAACTTGGGGTATTTTTATAGCAAAACTTCCTTTTTTGTATTGATGCTAAGCTTATATCATGTGTATTGAAAAAACTAGACCGTTGATCTCATTACATTCAACGGTTAAATTTTATCATTTAAATAATTTTTTTGTACGCCAATTTTGTTATTTATGATGACATAGTTTATAAAGAATATTCGCAAATTTAAAACCTGATCGTTGATCACATTTGATCAACGGTCAATTATGTTTGCAATGCCTGATAGAAAAAAGTTTTATTATGCTAATTTTGATATTTGTGGCGACATAATTAAAAAAAAATAATTTCCGCAAGTTTAAAACCTGACTGTTGATCAAATGTGATCAACGGTCAATCATGTTTCATCGCATCCATTTTTGGATACGGCAATCTCTAACACAAGAATTTTTTGTATGCTGCATTTTTAATTTGCAGCTACACAATTTAAAAACATTCCGCTACTTTAAACTAGACCGTGATCCCATTTGATCAACAATCAACGAGGTTTTGCCGCATCCTTTTTATTTTTTTTTTTTTTTTGAGGAATAGTCATTTGATCTTCATAAATTTGAAGTCAGTTGGCAGTATTAAAAGAAAAGATTAGCAAAGAGACAAAGGAACAAGTTGAGAGCTAGTTATATTTACGCATCAATTTTATTCCTAAAAGAATTAACAAAGTATTTATTTTCAGGATATATAGTTCAAATTCATAATAAACTATACTCTTTTTCTGCGTTAATTGGAAAATAATATTACAAATATAAGAATCAAAACGTCAAAATTTCGTCATCATCGCCCAAGTTCACAGCTTCAAGTGTGACTTGGTTTGGACCACTTGTCTACACGATTATTTGCCTTTTCTGCCTGCAATTTCAACATTTAATTGATTAGATATGAAATTACACGTTGAAAATAAAATTTCACACGAATAATTGCAGAAGTTTTTATGCAGTTAATACCTCTTTCTCCCAGTCACACCGAGCTGTTATGATGGCCAAAATCGCAGTTTGAATTGCAGTTCCACCAAAAATCATTCCAGCCCATATACCCTAAAATGCACATCAAATTTTATATGAAATGTTTCCCTTTCATTTCGGATCTTTTTTTTTTTTTTACTTTCTTGGATCATTCTTGAGATTTAGTAAAAAAAAAAAAAAAAAAAAAAACTTGAAAATACAGAATTAGCCATCAATGAGTTGACACAACACAAGCATTAAGAGGTGTACGTACCATTACTCCAAAATGGAAAACCCATCCCATCACAGATCCCATCGGCACGCCAATTAAATAGTAGCAACCCAAGTTTATGTATGCCACGTATGATTGCCATCCGGAGCCCACAGCAACCCCTAAAACAGGAATTAACCAAAAAGAAAAAAGAAAAATCATAATTCCTTTAAAAAAAGTAGTCATAATTTATTAAAAAAGAAAGGATAAAAATAGCCAAAAAATAATAGAAGAAGAAAAAAAAAAAAGAAGCTATGTTGATTAAAAGTGGATACCTGAAAGAATGGGCTGCACGCTATTGAGGAGAACAGTGAAAGCTAAGAGAATTGAGAGCTGGTGTACTGCTTCTAACACAGGCGGGCTGGTAGTGAATACATAGGCGATTTCACTGTGGAAGAATATAAGCAGTAGCCAGAAGAATAGACCAATCACTATTGATTGTGTTACTGCTACAATTGTTGCAAACTTGGCTCCTTTCCCATTACCAGCTCCCAATTCATTTGCAACCCTTACTCTGTTAGCAAACATCACAAAAAAACCCATATTAGCTTAGTTATAAAGATGAATTTATTTGGTCTCAGACTAATGTTTGCAACATTTGCTTCTTGCACAATCAAGAATAAGTATCGCCAATGCAAAGCTTTCGTTTGTTCTCTCACATTATCCAGTTTTCTTGCCCTTTTCCCCCCTTCCTACAAATTGTGCTGATTGGGTACCATCTTTCTGGTCACAAGTTATTTTTGTTCCTACCAGATAAACCTAGCTTAATGTGATTGATATTGAAGTCCAATAATCGAAGGCACCAGAGAGGACCATGTAAAACATGACCTAATAAGCAGGACCAGAAGAGACTGTAATTGATGGTGAAGTCCAATAATCGAAGGGACCAGAAAAGACCGTAAAATATGAACTAATAAGCAGGACCACCCTCCAGATATCAGCACCAATCACCAGTATAAAATGAAGTCATGAATATTACAAAATTTTGTCGTATCTATTATAATTTATGCACAAACAAAATGCATAAATGAAGTCATGTATTTTTGTGGTTTATGGGAAAAATATGGTTACCCTGTTCCTGCAAAGAATCCCAGAGGAATCATCATCTCCCATCCATTGACGTTCATGCTGCCAGCAGGAGACAAAGGGACAAAAATAATCAGGACCAGAAAAAAAAAGAAGACAAATGTGATGAAAAATGCACGGAGCTTGGCTTGGATAAAACTTTTTCGTTATATTAGTTCTTTTATCCTCATCTGGAAATTACTGGAATGGGGTTAGATGATAGACAAAAATACAATGCTGATTAGCTAGGTTGTTAATCCACAAGAAGTATCGAATGCCCTAATATTATTCATGGACTTATTGTCTAAGTACGTATGAATTATTTATGTTGACTACAATAAACTTTTAAAACAACTGAGATTGGCTTGATTGCATAGAGATTTTTTTTTTTTTTTTTGGTCAAAGATTCCTATCAAGGTAGGTTTGCTTTGGTTTAATTGTTTGTGAATTTTCTTTCAAGTCTATTTTGGAGGTATCCCTCAAATCCTCCAAGACCTTTTGACTGGCAACACAAATGCTGAAGCTTGTCACATTCTAGTACAGACAGGAAACCAGGGCAAGAAAATGATTGATGACCAATTCAATTATTAAAAAAACAAGAAAGTTGAAACCACGGGAATCATCAGTTCACCAAGAATTGGTATATCAATAGAAGACGGAACCAGGGATGCTTTTTCTTTTTCTTTTTTTTTAATAATTCAAAAGTGATAATGAAGCTTTGGCAATTGGATGGAAGATATGAGCAGATTCTGGTAATCATAAAAACTACAATTACCTAATATAATAATGCAACTAGTCCTACTCGTGGGGACAAAGTGCATATAAAATTAAAAGGGTTACCAAATAGACAGTGCATCAACTGCAATCTCTGCGTTCTGCAAATTTCCAGTCATCACGATGAGTATCCTGTAGTACCAATTCTCCAAACTGTTCCAATTGAGAAGAGGCAACAATTAACCAAAATTGAAATTTACCAAAAAGCAACTCTGATGACCCTTAATTACATATGAAAACAGCTGGTTGTAGGCCTTAATTAACAATTGTAAAAGCATATGTTTTTGAAACAAATATGCAGCAATTGGAACAGGCTTCTTGGCTGAAAACAGTTATACTTTTTAATCAGAAATTAGAATAGAATCAAAAGGGTTTTAATTAATGGTTAAAAATTTGAAATCAACATGCTTAATTGGAGGAGAAGAAGGACTGGAGACTCACCATAGCATGACCCCAGAAGAAGCAGAGAGTTTTAGAAATTCCCAAAGACCAGAAAATGCTTCAAAGGAAAAGCCAGACCATGTTTGAGGACAACCACCACAGAAAACGTAAGCAAGCAAACCAATTACAATAAGCCACCAAGAAAGATTCAAAATAACGCAAGCCCCCATCAATCCGAAATGGAGCTTGTAAACAAACAGCCAGCTCAAGACCACATGAATACAAAAGGCGCCTAAATTCACCCAGGCAATCACATTATTCTTCAGCTGACTCTGCAAGAATCTCTGCAGAGGGAACTGAAGAGTAAAGCTGAAGTGGAGTGGTATAAAAGCTAAAGCCACAGTCCCAGAAAGCTCAGCAACATCATCAGGTTGTCCCAGCAGCTTCAAAACTGGAGTTGCAAATATGTACAAAGGTAACGTGAAAACTCCACATAAGAGAAGAACTATCCACGATCGTTGTAAATATACGCCCAACATGTAGTATTTCTTTGCTCCAAAAGCTTGCCCACATAGAGTTTCCAATGCACTTGCCATCCCTAGCTGAAAAAAAAATTCACCAAATCTTTATACAAAGGGCTGAATATTTAGAAAGAAAAAGTATAAAAAACGTATACTAGTACATAAAAAATTTTAGTAGTAACATGTTAGTTTATTAAACTAATTTCTAGGGAGGATTCAAACCTAGTATGAATCTCCAATACCAACAAGAATTTGAGCAACAGTTTATACAACTTTTCATCGCCCTGCTTGAACTGAATACGATGTGAGCAAACTTATGGTTAAAGGCGAAATGGAAGAGAGTAGTAATAGCAAGTATATATTTGATGTCCCTGCGATTGTAAATAGGGATCATTTAGCTATTCGTTTATTCAGCTTTCAAGCAACGCAAGGCTTAGAAGGGAGCTCAAGATGGTCACAGAAAAAGTACCAAGAGGCCAAAATCGAAGCCACAAATGACACTGCTAGCAATGGATAAGCCAGCGAGCTCAAGATCACCAAGGTGGCCGGCGAAGGCTTGGGAAATAACGAACATGGAGTAGGAAGCGATGCGGCTGAAGATGGCGGGACCAACAATTCGCCATAGTTTCTTGGATTCAATCCAAGTTCTGCGTGCAAGACTTTGATCTTCATTTGCTTCTTCTCCTACTATACTTTTTGATGAATAGTCCAGTAATGGGACTTTTGTTTCATTCTCTGCTTCTGCTGTAGTTTTGTTGTTTGACATTTTCTTTGGTATGAACGCCGCTGCCCAGGTCTCTTTAGGCAGTCCAAAGACAAGAAGAGCAAGAGACAAGGGCCAGCCTTAGATATGCTATTAATAGAGTCTATGAACTATTGCAATTAGCCATAAACTAACCTTCTTAGAAATTTCCCATTATTTCAAACATGTTTGACCACCTCCCTTGGCATTTTTTTTGTGTTATTTTGTTAGCTTTTTTCTCCTTTCTTTTACTTTACATTTTTTTTTCCCCACAATGATAGACCCTACGTGTATTCTATTCTATTCTATACTATGAAAGAGGGGAAACCTAAAGGGGTCCAGAAAGAAATCGGAGAGGACTAAATTACCTACCGATCCAAACGAGTGTACTGCACAGTTGTCCGATAGCCACTTGAAGTGGCCTGCCACATTTAGTGACAAACGATGTGAAGCAAGATTTAAACCTGAGCTCCCACCTCACTGAGCCCTAAGGCTTTGGTGATGGATTAGCTCAATGGTTCTTTTTTATTTTCCATTGACCTCTCTATTTTTTCATTTTTTTCATTCAAATTATTTTTTAAAAATGACAGAAAATCTTTCACACTAGGAGAAATTTGAGTAACTAAACTTAAAAGAAAAAAAAGATTAGAAAATGAAAACCTAGAAATCAGGCGCTCAAACTCATGGTTGAAAAAACTTTAGGAGGTCATCCTTCGTTTTGTTTAGAGTTTAGACACGCCTCTATTCCCGACAAATAAGGGGACCTTTTAATTTTGGAATCAAGGAAAAATGTTCGCCAATCTTACCGGGTTGTATTCCAATTTTTCCTAACAAATTGATGAAATTTCTAAAGTTGGATTAGCTTACGTAGGATTAATTTGTTTGGGTGGCCATAAATTTTTTTTTTTTTTGGGAGGAATGCCACAATAAAATTTTAAGAGTAAAGAATTGTTTGAGTGACACGTGGGTTTAAAATCATACCAGCATCTATGTGAGAAATAATAATTATGACCATAAGAAGACGAAAGCTTCTTGGCAACTGGCAAATTTCTGCAACTAGCAATAAATTAGTAACACAATAAATTAGTAACACAATAAATTGCCACTCTTTTGACCAAAATCACCAGGAATGCTTCATCCTAAACAGAAGAAATTTCTGTCAGTCAAAGTAGTACTTCTATTTCTTTGGAAGGCTTGGCCTAGCTTTTTCCACGAAACCAAATTCTATTATGAAATTGTGGCCCATATGTAATACGTTGCATGCGCCTAACAAGAACCCTCCGTCTTATTAGTTGAATTAAATCTGAAAGCACGCGAATGGAATTGATTTTATCAGAGATCGCAAAGCATTGGCTACTTGTTCCAATTTTTGGGTTGAAAGAATACAGCCGGGAATGACTACTAGTATTAGATTTTCCAATTACATCTTGAATGTTGAATCCATACTCATAATGGAGTTAATAAGCATCCAATTCTCTCAATTTCAATTTCGAGACAATCCAAACAGCTGTCGTAGGATCTGCCATCCATTTATTTCCAATGACAACACAAGTTTGTAAGCATTTAGTGGCATTAATGAGTCATGGAGACGGGTGGAAATGGAAAGATGAAATGTACACGTGATTTCCTCGAGTTGTAGCGCCCACCTCAATCCAGCTTTCCTTGTTCTACAAGAAGTAAATACCTCTCTTTTTTTTTTTTTCCTTTCTGTATCCATCAGGAGAAAAACAACCACTACCAACTTTTGCTTGGTCTGCACGAAGTCAATTATGCCGTGCCATTTGTCTTCTGTTTCTCAGTCCAATTACGTTGGCTGATTTTATCTTCTCTATACAATCTATTATCAAAAAAAAAAAAAAAAGAGTAAAATGAATCATCGCATAAATCAAGAAAAATAGGAATGGCAACGCGGTGGACGTAGGGCCGGGACCCTTCCCTCGCCTCGTTGTCCAAACATTTTCCCCACTCCCACTTCACCGCTCGTCACGCACACCCCTTCCTCAGTCACTCGCGGGGGCTAATAGAAATTTTGTTAATATGAATAATATCCACAGCAAGTGCAGTTAGAATAAAATTTGGAAGAAAATCCCTTCACATACAATCATCAGAAATAGAACAAGCATGTTTAGCAAAATAATGAGCAACATTGTTCAATTTTCTAGACATTCATGATGCTTCTCAGGTTGCAAAGTTTTGTATACCTATGAGAATATCATCCATAAGCATTCCATAATCTGATGCATCCGAGTCCATACTTTGAATCATTTTAATAACTTTCTAACAATAGAAATTTATCAAATGTAAAAGACTAAAAGTGTAATTAGTATAAGTATGTTAACATAACTAATCAGTAATTTGTAGTATTAGTATAAATGTATAATTAGTAGTATAACTAATAATATTAATTACATTACTTATACATAATTTGATATTAATAAATATATATATATATATATATATATAAGGCAGGTGATGGGTATACGCGGTTGTTGCCATCTCTAAAGGGGAAAAGTAAACCAATTTTTTGGATGCTTCCAAAAACTTCCTTAAATTAAATGCCTTATAGTCTTCTTTTTTTTTTTTTTTTGTTTTGTTTTTAAACCTTGGGTTACACTTACACATGTGTAGTTTACAATAAGAAGTCATACTGAAACGTGCCCGCAGTTGGATTGACTAAATTCAATGTATAAAAAGAAACTTGATGCAAGTACTAAAAGAAAATTGGAATACGATATCTTTTTTCTTAATTTCGTATTGTGCAGGAAAAACTTACTAATTAGTTTATGAAAAAGAAGATGCGAGCTTGTTCTTTTTACACGACAAGTATTTGAAGAAGTAAAAGAAACACCTCTATTTGAAATTTAAAAGAAAAAAAAATTGTGTGGAGTAAGATGTTCTTCAATCTGATAACCAAAAAGAGATTGAACATCTGGTACCATTATGAACATGGCATCTAATGAAAAAAAAAAAAAGCATTCTATGGTTAATTAAATGGTTTTTTTTTTGTTATCGATACCGGATCAATTCTTGCGAGACCGACTATAAGCTGCCGTTCTTTCTCCCTGTCCCCTTTTCAATTGGACTCAAAAGGTTAAATGAATCAATCATTGGGGCCACGAATTTAAAGATTTGTCATTTGTTCATTTTACGTAAGCGATTACGAAAGCAATTCCGTCAAAGCGTCGCAGTCCTACTGTACCAGCCGGAACTGCATGCATGAGCCAAAAACACAGCAACGTACGGGGTACAATTTCCTCCGTCAAACTTTGAGTTGCAAGATGAGAAGATTATGATGGAAATTTGCCACGTCAGATTGTGGAAAAGTAGTATAGCAGTAAATTGCTGCCAAGACGGCATAATAAATCATCAGAAAGTGCATGTCAACCTCTTGTCATTGTGCTTTCAAGTCCAGATTTTTATTTCCAAGTCCATCATTCTTAAAGGTTAATCCCAAACAGTCCCCTAGTAGCTTGGACCCCTAGCTAAATACAAGACGATGATCATGATTAGAATTATTCAATCGCTCACGGGCTCATTTATGTTTGTCAAAATTTGGTCGATTTGTGTGGTGGTCCTCGTGTTTGTGGTTTTCAAATTATTTGATTGCTCATGAAGAAAAAATGAAGAAGAAAGGACATGATCATTAAATATTGCATGCCCATTTTTAATAAATGCTCTCAAAGTCCCACTTTCTAAATTTTTTAATACACTTATTTATTAGAAAAAGAAAAAAAAAACAATCTCTATGAAAGGAAGATGAGGGAAAGAGGGATCAACACAAACTTTTGAGCAGTTGAGTGTTTGTATAAACAAAGAGTTGCTTCTGTTCCTAGTGTTAGTGATAGAGATGATGATAGTTGATAAACTGATTCAGTTGCGCTCGTATGAGTTGAGCAGATTGCTTCTGCTGGTGACTGTTTTTTCTGCCATATTATATTAATAAAAGTTGCGGTTTACCCCCAAAAAGGAGAGATGGAATTGAAATGATACGGGAATAATTGAACACTCATTACAAAACTAATAAAGAGGACTCTTCATCTCCACCTCATAATTCCACTCAAAAAGTTTATATCATCAAAAAAAGGAGAGTACTTCCATAATCTACCTAATGTGTATAGTGTGTGTGTGTGCAACCAAAAGAAGACAATTAGACAAAGGTAGTTGCTAGCATCATATCACTTGGATTGATTGACTGATTAGGGAATTTGAGTGGCTAAATGGCTTCAATTAGTGGAGGAAATATGAGGCGTTTATTTATGTTATGGTGTTGAAATTGCTATTTATCCAGATATTCAATTACAAACTGCAAATTGTTGGAATAAAAAATCCCATATCTTCCTTATGCTGCCTTCTAAACATTCAAAAAGGATCTTGACTCTGCTAAAAACTGGCTGTGTTTCTTCCACGGTTTCAATTTTTTTGTTCATACTACTCTGTATATATATTTTTTAAAAATTGACTAACCATTTATTGATCAAATTCGTACCAAACTGGTAGGAAAACAGGTCAAACCGTGAGAAAGTGCTTCATGTGGCATGAAATTGCATCAGGTGCATTCTTTAGGGTATGAATTCTTTAATCCCAAAAATTAAAAAAAATGAGGAATTATTTATTTATTTATTTTTTTTATTAACATCAAAATAAATAAACAAATGGAGGGGGACCAAACCAAAACCTCTAATACATTAAAAAAAATCCATATACAAGTAGTACTTACTCCCTTGCAGAAATTGATCTAAAGTTTAAAAATCCATGAGCACAAGTTTGTTTGGATAGTGGGTTATTTTCTCAAATATATTTATTTACATCATCATTATAATTTTCAATACAGTTTTTTATTTTCTCAATTATCTTTTTATCTCACATACATCACATCATAAAAAATATTTCAGTAAAAATATTTTAAATAATTTATAATGCAAACAATTTTTAGCCAGTGACATAAAAAACTGCTGAGAAGCCATGCCCAAAAAAGTCAGCTAGTCAGTTGCAACATTTGCCTTCCTAAACACGTGCACTGTCACAGTTGACATGACATGTAAGACATATTGCAGAATCAAACATAAAGGCTACGTAGTTGAAAAGCATCG